GGGGGGGGGGGGGGGGGGGGGGGGGGGGGGGGGGGGGGGGGGGGGGGGGGGGGGGGGGGGGGGGGGGGGGGGGGGGGGGGGGGGGGGGGGGGGGGGGTCTTCGTTGCTAGCCTCACCCTTTACCAACAGAATGTTCAAGTTGAACATACATGCGTCTGAGATAAATCATGACGATGCCGGCGCGCGCGCAGGAGGGCACGCGTTCATAACCCCACGACGTGCCAACTTATCTTTTTAGTTACGGCAATGTCTTCACAGGCTAATTGAAGTAGACACGGCACCCAGCCATGACTAGACTCGGAGCTCAAGCGCTTCAGAACGCAAACACACACAAGCCCCATCACGCGACACGCTGAATCAAACGCGAAAAGTTCAAAGAAAAAAAAACGCAGCCAAAGGAGTGCTGGGGCTCACCCAACGAAGTCGTCCATGGCGGACTGCTCCACGCTGATCTTCTTGACGTTCGAGTCCTTCTGCGGCTTGAGGGAGAAGGTCTGCGCCTGCATGGCCTCGATGTCCTGCCAGGTCTTGACGCGCTTCGTCGCTCGTGGTGGCGGCGGCCTGTCGTTTTAGACCCACCCCGTGTCACAAAAATAACGGGGGGTGATTTCAGCAAGCAAGCACCACAAGCCTACCCAGCCACTTAAGAAGCTGCCCAGCAGGGTCTTCACACACGTCCACCGAGTGTTCACTTCTTTACGGAGCAAGCAACGGTTAGACGACACGACAATTTGAGCCAACGAAATGGCTTCGGATAGAAGCTACAACATCGCCAGGGACAGAAGGGGCCTAACGTATCTTTGCCGTGACCGAAAACAAGCATCCCTTTCCGAGCTTTCCGAGCACGGTCGGAAATAGTAGAGCAGCAACAACACCAAGCTCATGCGCACCCAACACCAGGCACACCTCCAGAAGCCATACCTGGCGTGCTGGGGAAACGGCACGAACTTGCTCCCACCGGTCTTGTCCCCGACGGCCGCCGCCTTCATCCTTTCCAAGGCGTCCGACTTCGCCTTCGCAGCGGCCCGCGCGGCCGAATTGCTCTGTGGCGGAAGCAAGCAAAGGCGACTAAATGTTCGCCAGCGGAGCGAGGGCTGTTGCTTTAACGCTTGGGGCACAGGGAAGTTGCCCTCACAGGGCGAAGGGAGGACTACCCACCAAACCAGCGAAAAAAGAATGTCTCCGTTGTACTTGTTGCCCTTCAAATCTTGATAAGGCCCGTGATGTAGCTACATTGGTGCGGCTACGTCGCAACGTGTCGTAGAACATCCCGGCGTGCGCCGCCGATGTATTGACACCCTGGCTTTGGATACATCACAAAAGAGACTTGTTACACGAGACAAATCGAGTCAGCATCACACGAAGCGGAGTGGCCATACGACGAGCACGACTAGCTCGCCACCCGGTGGATATGCACCAGCACGTATTTGTGTTTCACACATCATGGCCACCTATTAGATGCATACAAACCTTGACGTACAAGAAGTCCCCGTTCCCTAGACCCAGGGCAGCCACCGACGTCGCACCGTCCGCTGTGGAACTCCCTGCAGAGGCATTCGTGCCCAACCCCTCCCCGCTGCCCCCGCCGCCCTTCTCCATCCCCAGCTTGGACAGTATGCCGTCCATCGTGTCCGCGCCCGTCGCTTTCACGCGCTTGACGGCGCCGTCCGGCATGCGAACGCGCAGCGTTAGCGGGCTTCCTGGAGCCGCCGCCGCCGCCTCTCGCCCGCACCAGCAGCAGACAGCTAAAAGTAGTAGCAGGGACAGGGAGGCGGAGAACGCGGAACTACCGCTGCGACGGCATGGGGGTTTCCTTCTCCTTCTCCTGATGTTATTGTTGTTTAGCGGTGCTTGGTGTGTGTGGTAGCTCTGCGGCTGTCGGTGCCATCGGCAGCGGGCTGCTGTTGATGCTGCCCTTGTCGGCGCCAGCATGTCTGCTGGATGGGTCTTCGACAAAACGCTCTGCACAGCGAGCAAGATGGTCGACAGCGTGTACAGGAGAAACAATAGTATGCGGAGTGATTGTACTCGAAAATAGCAACTAGTGCACTTATGTTGTTGCGTCATCGGGTAGTGGTAGCATGCCGGCTAGCGCGTGTAGGATCATGACACTTGGCAAGCGCAGAGCACATGTGGATCTGCTGCTGCTGGCTGTTACAGGAGCACCGCTACATGAACAGCTCTGTCGCACTACCCATGGTTGCACTTACCGTGAAAAAAACTGACAGACCAAGGAAAACGGTCTGACGTAGCAATGAGACAAGGAGATCCAAAAGGAGACGTGAGCTGAGCCAGGCAAGGGTGTGGCACCCCATGACCCCAGTCCAGCATCAGCCAGATGGGGCTTCGTAGAATGTCGACTGACAATGGGCAGGCATGTACGATATTGTTCATGGATGCGTTGTATTCCGCGGAGCCCCACGCTCGTTCCCCAGCCCAGTGCAGTAGCACAGGCACAAAGCGCACAGCAGGAGCCTGGTGTGCTCAGCGGTGTGTGGAGAATAAAGCAGGTGAGAGTAGGCGTTGTGAAGAAGCGTCTTGGTAGCGATTTAAAGCAGCGATGCACTTACACAGGTGCGCATGTACTCACGGGTACCTGGTACGCATCATTTCACAAGACAGGTTCAACCCCTCTTCCCTGCGTCTTATTGGCTGTGCCTTCTGCACCGCCAACTGCGCTGCTGCTATCACCATTTCCAAGACGCCCTCTATGCTGAACGCAAAAAACTGCGCCTTATCGAAGACGGGACGGCGAGGGCAAGTGTTGATGTCACTGAGGGGGTGTAAGAAACATGTTTGGGTTGAGTCGTGATGCATTCCAGCCGCAGTCGAAGTTTGGTATTTATGTAGGCAGCATTGTCGTGGTTTGTACCCAGAAGAGTTGGCCCACGATGCCTTGTCGGTACTTTTTTGCCCCACGACAAACAGAAGTGCTCCTGCTGTAAATTTGCAACACGAATCAACCCCAAACAACCTCCTTTTTCTCCTTCTTGCGTATGCATGACACCAGGCGAACCGAACACTGCTCTGTTCACACGCGGGGAAACATGTTGTCGAGACGACCGACCGGCCTTCGCGGCAGAAGCAGCAGCTGCCGCACGGGACGGTCACTGTTGTCGTTGTTCTTGGCGGCCCTTCTCGTTGCTCTGTCGCCGGCGTCCGCCTTCCTCTCGTCATCACCACCACGACCGTCGTCCTCCGCTTCCTCCTCCTCGCGATCGGCGAAGCGCGCGAAGAGATTGGCGCCGCTCCACGGCATCAAGCGGAAGGTCAAGGTCGAGATGGAGGAAAACGTGAGGAACGACCGGCAGTCAAATCGGAAATGCTTTTTGTAGTAGGCGTGGCCCGGCAAGGAGGCTGGCTGTGCTGCCCACACGCGTTGTTGGTTGGCCTAGTGGGTCCAGTGCTGTCCGTGGTCACCTTGAATGGAACAAACGCGTGTGCTGCTGCAGCGGTTTCCGACAAGTGTTGTCCGCGCCTTCACGTTGTTATTGTACAGTGTAGCGCTCCTGTAGTCGACTCAATGTGTTGTTCGAGGGTCGTTAAGACAGGAAAAGGTTCTCGCGGTGGTTAGATACATCAGACAACAGTTCCCCTGGTTGTCGTCCTGACGTAGATTGTTTCCCCCGGGATATCCGTCACCTACTGCTGTTGTTCCGGTTGTTGTATACCGGCCGCCAGTTCTCCGGGAAAGTGGTGGAGCCAGTGGGGGCGGCGACGAGCATGTTCGGAGGCGACGCCAACGCGCTCTTCGACGTGATCGAGAAGAATAAGAAGAAGGCCGCGGAGGCCGCCGCCGCCGCCGCCGCCGCCGATGGCAACGGCGATGACGACGGCGATGAAGCAGGCGCAGACGGTGGAGACGCCGGTGTCGGGGATGGGGAAACGGCATGATATGAATGGTGCATCAACGTTTGAACATAACTGTTGTACTGGGGCAGCAGCTGCGGGTATGTATGTAATGAAAACGCAGCGCTCCGATAGAATTGCGGTGCTTTGAGCAGATGAGGCGTATAGAACAGCCGCTCTGGTTTTGGTTAGTGTGGCGTATAGATTGTGTAGTTCGAGCATGCCCCATGGTTTTCAGGTTTTCCTTGTGTCGTAGCGAGAAAACGTGTTTGCCTTGCCCCTTTGATATTTACATAGTGTTGTGGCTTGCTTGCCTACGGTGTGCACTGCTTTCACTAGGCCTTTTTTCGTTGCATTCGTTCGTGTGGGTGTTTTTGGAGATGGTTTGAGGGGGCTCCAAACGTCTCGTGGCTGGATGGCCTGCTTCTTTCACACGCGACCCAGAGTGAATGGTTAACAATTATGCTTTCCGATCAGCGGTGTATCCACCAGGATTGCCGGATTGCACTACCTGCGTTTCCCCGGTTACTACATCGTTCACCAACACGTGTATAACGGACGTCGTTCGGCAAAACCCACGCTTCCCTCACGTGGGCTACAATGTTCAAGTCGGTAATGTTAGCCTGTATGGACCCTCTCCTCTTACCTCTACACGTCGGTGTTGGAGTAGGCATTATTGAATGGAGGTATCCATCCCCGAGATAGGGGTACGATGTTTGCCCTTGCTTGGCCATTCATTGAGTGAGGTGCGGTACTGCTGTCGTCGCGGAGCGTTTTTGAGATAGTGTTATAGTCACTTTTTCATCGTTGGCGCGGCATCGCCGGACTCGGCTTTTCGATTTAACAGCGCTGATCATTATCAACATTATCAGCAGGTCGAATCCAAAGGGAATGGTTCTGTTTTTCCATTAGGAAAAACCTTGATGAATCAAGTAGTTATTTCAAACAGTGTTCACTTACTACGACGGCTCCTGACCTGATCGGAAGGAACGCGAAGTTATTACTTCGTAGCATCACAGCAGAGGACAGATGTTCCGAACGTGCGTGCGGATGGAGTGCGAACACGAATTATCTTTCAGGTTCAGAACACGACTTTTTTTCGTTTTTTCTGTGTGCGTCAGCATCCACCAATTACAGGGTTTGTCGCAATGCAACGTGGAAGGTATGTGTATATGTACTGTTGTTGTTGTTGTTGTTGACTTCACATTAAACCGTATGCCAGTTGCT